GCAACGGGCAGGTAAGGCGAGCCCCGGTCGTGGGGAGAGGGGGGGCGGCTTGTCCCTGCACACAGCCCCCCCACATCCCCCCCGCCGATGCTGCCCCCTCCGCCGGGAGGCAGCTCCGCGCCCTGTCCCGGGGGGGGTGGGGTCCAGCCTCCCCCTCAAGGGATGCTCAGGGCACCTGTGGCTTTGGGAATCGGGGGCAGCTGTACTGAGGAAGGGGGTGGGCTGGGTGTATAACACTATTTGGGGGCAAAAAAACGTGAAAAGCAGGCACGCACCTCCTCCCCTGCGCTGCCTTGCGTGGAGCGCGTTGCCCTTGCCTTTAGCGAGCACTGGTGTGAGGTTTAGCTTTTGGGGATGTGAAAGCTGGGGTGCTTGAGGCTGGGGCATCTGGAAGTTGTACCCCAGATGGTTAAAAGCCCGCAGCTGCTCCCAGTTCGGCTTGTTTCTGCTGGCAGAGCCAAGCTGGACAGAAACTTTCAGCGGCGGGGCCTCGGTGCTGGCTGGAGAGCAGGATTTCTGTGCCGGGGAAAAAATCCTGAGGTTTCAGTATTGTTCTTTGTTCCATTTTTTTTTTGGTACAAACCCAAGCGCTTTTAGTAAGTTGCGTGGAAAGTTAAGGCAAGAGAGAGCTCCTGCCCCCGGGGCAGGCCAGGCTGCTGCTGGGGCACAGGGAACTGAGGTCTCTTCAGGTTTCCAGGCAGGGATATGGATTTAGATTTCCCCTATCCCGGGGGTGAAAGGCATCATCCCTTTCTTCCTGCCCTGAAAATGTTATTTTGGACTAGAGGAATAAGCCCGGTGCTTTCTACTGGAGGGTTTTCCATTAGAAGTGGTTCTGGTTCTCCATCCCCCCACCTCCCGCTCCAGCAGCTGCCAGGTGAGCCCAGGTTGCTCACCTGGCCCTGCAGACCCACCCGTGTGTAATACTTGGATTTATTACTAATTATTTATTACTAATTATCATTCTGTTTCTGCCTGGATGCTGCGTTAGCTCTGAGCTTGGTGGGGAGCGGGGGCAGACGTGGCAAATGGAGATGAAAGCAGGGCAGCGAGCACGGCGGGGAGCCGAGGATGCTGTTAAATCCTCAGCTGCTTTTCTTGCTGCATCCAACAAGAACCGTGCTGCAGACTTTCCCCGGGGTGCCTTTCATCTCCATCTACTCTCACATTTTTAGGGAGCTCGGATCCCCCTCCCAGCCTCAGCCTGGTGTCCAGATGTGCTGAACTGGTGTTATACTGGGGTGAGGGAAAGACAGCAGCTGCGTCTCCCACCCCACGCTCTGCACGTGGTGGTGGGTAGGTAGCCCAAGGCAGGTGCAGAGGGCCTGGCTGGCCATGCTGCTCGGCAGAGCAGTGAGTGAGGAGGGAGAAGCTTACAGATGCAGGCAAGAGCAGGTATCACCTGTTGGGGCTGTAGGAGAAGCAGCAGAGCCTGGCATGGATGGAGGAGCAGTGCCTGATCTGGATGCTCTCCGCTTATCTCCCGCTCGATGCAACATCTTGGTACAGGCACATCTATCCTGGCACGATCTATATTTCCCCTCCCTTCACCAGGAACATCAGCTGCCTACTAAAGTAATTCTTTAACATGAATCACCTGGGGCTCAGCTCTAGCTCATGAGGCAGGCAGCAGGGTTGTATAACCCAAGAGGGACCAATGTTTGATACACCCTCCACCCTCGGGAGCTGGATGGGACGTCTCGATCCCCTCTGCAAGGGATGCGTGTTTATAAATGCTGCTGCGTGTGTAGGGGCTGGATTGCTCAGTGTCTGGTGCCTGCCAGGAGCCATATGCCAGAATGGGTTGGGAAAAACTTTCTTCTTGGCAGCAGAGTTGAGGATCAAGGCATTAGCGCAAGGAAAAGCAGGTTCTGAGGAAGGCAGTGGGGCTTGCTGTAGCAGGCCCTGCTCAGAGTAGCAACCAAGCCCCTTCGTCATGTTCTAGGGACACCGCACGTGACACGCAGAAACAACAATCCTGTCTGCAAAACGGTGACATGTAAAGAAGGGGCAAAGTGGCATACCAAGGCACTTGGGAGGTTCATGGCAGAATCCAGTCCAACCCTGATCTTTGCCACCAGCCCCAGGTCCTTGCCTGTTCTGGCAAGAAATGACTTAGGTGGGACTTTGATGTGCCCACAAGCCCAGCAGAATCCCTGCTCGGCTGCTGTCGTCTATTCAAGGGAGCTCTTTCATGGTGAACTACCATGGGCATCCTCAAGCCCCCGGGGTGGAAACGCAGGACTGTTACCAAAGGGACCTGTGCTGGGCCGACCTGGAGCTTTGATCTCATTTTTAGGCAAAGAATATGCTACAGATCTCCCTTACCTGGACTTGATGAGGCTTTACCCACTCAGTGAAGTATGTCAGTGGAGAAGACTCCTGCCAGGGGCTAGGGGAGATGGCAAAGGGCCCCATGCAGGAGAGCTTCAAACTGCTTAAAGCTTTTAAAGGAAGATCTGAGATCATGCTCATTCTTCATGCCAAGATTCAGCTGCAAAACCAAGCTGAGAGGCACCATCCGTCAGGGTTGAATGAGATGCTTGGCCGGAGGGAACTGGCTGACCTCAGGGATGAGCTGCAGGGTGTGGGGATGTCCCCTCGGACATACACCAGGCCATACAGTGCGGTGCTGTACGGCTGGGCTTTGTGCTATCTTTGGAGGTTGAATCATTTTGGGATGGCTGAGACTGGGGTTTCAGGGCTGGTTTGCTCGTGGGTGCCTCTGAGGGGGTTACAAAAAGGCAAGGGGTAGCAGGCAAAGGGTGTTGGTGGGACAAAGGTATGGAAGAGTTAATGTGGAAGGACCGAGCTCTGAGATATCTGGTGCTTGAGAGGGATTAACTCAGCCTGGAGCAGGTGCAGGGAAGCAGGACTCTGAGGCTGATCAGGGGGATGGAGAGCGGTTATACAAGGCTATAAAAGCCCAGAGAAACAAAGGCGGAGAGGGGATGTGCTTGCTGCCTATAAATACATCCAAGGAGTGAACACCAGGGAGGCAGAAGAGCTGTTTAAACTGGAGAACAGTGCTGGCGTGGGGGAAAAATGGGTGTGAATTTTACCTTGGGAGACTTATGTAGAGGCTCTGCAACTGCACCCCATCAGAGGAGGGTAGGAGGGTGGGAATTAGGACACATCACCTTCCTTCTAAGGTGTTTGACTGTGATATAAAGAGCATTTAGGGCTTGTCGTGGTAGGAGGCTGGGACTGTCTGGTCCAGACACCCTGTCCTGGTATCTCCTTTGGGAAGGGCTGTGTTAGCTGAACGGGTCTCTCCACCAGACCAGGCATGAAGCAGATGAAGCCCAGCCATATCACCAAGCTAATTTTTCTCTTTGATTATGCCTCAGGGAAAAAAAAATATCCATCTCTCCCTTCTCTGGTCTTTGCACAGATTAGTAACAAAGCATCAATGCTTTAAGAAGGCTTTGGATCTGATCCCAAGAGCAGATTTAGACAGTGTTTGTGCTTTGGTATGATACTAAGAACGGGTGCATCGTCTAAGTCTGGTCATGCTTGTGCATTCATTACCAGATAATTCTGGCCAATTTAGAGGTGCCAAGACCCCTCTCCTAACGCTTACTCCAAGCAGAGCAGCAGCAGGTATTAATATGTGGAGAATGAGAAGGATGCAGCTGTGCCTTGAAGGCTGGGATCAGGCATACTCCCCCCTCCTCCTCCTCACTAATCTCTAGAGGTGTCAGCTCCTTTCTCTGCAGATGTCCAGAGGTGAAACCTTTTCCATACCTGCCGGGGGGTTTCAGCCCTTAGAGAGGCATCCATCATCCTATGCTCATGCCGTGGTGTCATGGGGCGCACTTGGGTACCATTTATCTGCTTATATCTTCATGCCTGAGCCTACACCTGCTCTGCTGAGCTGCTTGTGGAGCACAAAGGCTCAACAACGGGCTTGTGTTGACCTGCTTCAGGCCAGGCAGTGCTCCTCCAACTCCTGACCCCGCAGGCAGCATCCTGGATGGGGAGTGAGTGCGGTGATTACTCCGGCTCTGCTCACTTCCAGCTGATTACCCAGGAAGAAAGGGTCGGGCTCTGGGCGCTGCAGAAAATGGACACAGACCCGTTGGCTTCATGGGCGCTGCTTTTCTCCTCTGTGGAGCATCTGTCTGGCAGAAACATTAACCCTTCCCCTGCTCTTAGCTCTCCCCTTCGCACCGGGGAGTCTTTTCATCCGTGGGTTATTCCTGCTAAATTAGTTTACACTGTAGGAGAGACCCCCATTCTGGTGCCTCGATACAGGGGTAACTTCTTGGGGTCATGGTGGAAATAGGAAGGGTTGCCATTGAGTTTTTCACCCCCTCTGGGAAAAGATCCATTCCACTCCACCCTCTGGGACCGGGAAGGTTTCAACAGCTTTCTCCTTGCTGCATGGTGCATTAGTTTCCAGCTGGTATTGCAGATCTTTATGCTTTGGGGATCCTCCTGTGCTGGAGACGTGACAGATGATACCCCTGCAAAGCCGTGCTGGGAGCCCGTGGGCTTTGCAGCTCCTAGGGGAGAGAACCAGCTCCTTTGGGCCTGATCCAGCCCTTCAGAGAGGGCTGGGCTGAGCTCCTCACCCCCCGCCTGCTCGTGCATCCTGTAGGCAGCTTTCATGTGCTCTAGGGGGTATGTCCCAATTCAATAACGCTTTGACACGTTTTACCTTAAAATACTCTTCCGGCACAGAAAAGTGCTTCCTGCCCCTTGGTTTGCCCTTGTGCAAAAATGACCAGTTTTAGTCCTCCCGCTGTGCATCTGAGCATCATCTCTGCTCGCTTGTGTCCTGCGATTTCAATTGGTCTGGAATGTAGGTGAAGGGGAGAGGGGACGGTAAAGCATCCCAACCACCTTGATGCTGGGAAACGTTAATGGGGAGCTCTGAAACAATACGTGGGAGAGGGTTTCTTTTCCCCACAGTGCAGGAACCTCCTTAGCTTATCGGGCAAATGGTCTCCTTGGCTGGCTGCAGCTTGTCCTCAGATGAGGGAGGCTGCAGCCCTCGTTTATTCAA